AGAGCAGCCGGCATGGCAAACTATTCTGAGTCTTAATTTGTTGTGTTTGTGTTTTACAATGAATGAGGATCAAGAAATGGGTTTGACACACATGTAGCAATATCGCACCCTAGAGGTTATAGAGGGTTATGACAACTGATGAATAAAAAAAGAAGAAGAAGAAAGAAGCTAATATGGGAAACAGACATTATATCAGGGTTATTATAAACATTAACACTCGGTAGATATAAACCTCAAGATCCTTTATAAATCTAAGACAACTAAGATAGCAATGAGCATTAAAGAAAAATCTTTCTGCATTTGTAAATTAATATTAGTATTAAAAACAGGGAAAACATTTGTAAAGACGCATAAAAACAAAAAAGATAAAACCAAACCACACAAACACACAGATCAGTGCTGAGATGATTGTAGATGGAGGAGAATAGGAGGGGCAGAGAGGAAATAGAGGATGATGATGATGATGAAGAAGCAGAGCAGCCAGGCACACCATGCTCATGAATCTGTTTCAGGGAACAGTGATAAGAGCTGATCAGGTTATAATGTGTTTGGATCAGACGGTTTTCTCCAGGGCAGCCATCTTCAGCCAACTGTCCACATGTTTCTCAATCTCCTGGGAGGGAGAAGGAATGTTTTTGAGGATTTCATCATTCTACGTGTTTGTTATGCAGATTACACAATAACATATCAGTGAGGCACACATACCTGTCTGGCGTTCTGGAGCGAGCGGCGGTCTGTGACTCTTCTAGTCATCATATCAGCACAGTGCGCAGTGTCCTTAATGAAGATGGTCTGGGCTTCTTCTCCTTCCTCAGCCCTGTCCTGAACCACCGACAGCTCCTTCCACGGGTCAACTCCACCTGTGGCAACGATGAGGAAATAGATTTACATTTGTACCACTGTTTGGCTGCTCCCTCGCCTGCTTAGGTTCAGTTATTATCTCCGCCAGGCGCAGGCCACGGGAGAGGTTATGCATTTGATTGTGTGTGTGTGTGTGTGTGACTACGTGAGTCCATGTGTCCGTGACTGAGTGAGAGACTGTGCACCTCTGTGTCTGTCCACGGCTAATCTCACATTCTGCTGCAGCAAACTGCACAATATTTTGGGCGGCCAGTTATCACTGCATGCTCAATTACCTCTTGTGTTCGTGGTGACTCACACCTTCTCAAAACACCTTTTATTACCTGTTTTATTAGCATTGACTGCCTGCTGACTCCTCTCTCACCATTCCACCCGGCTGGTAGTACGCTAGTGATAACACAGCTAAGTGCATCTACAATCTTGCTACTCTGTGTCCAGAGACACGGTGGGGGGAAGCTGTTAGCACGCTGTTATTTTTTTGGATGGTGTGTTCGACAAAGAGCTAACGGTACTACCAGTGCACACTCTGCTGTACCTCGCTGCCAATCAGTTGTTGCTAAACGGGTAGACAGCTTGGTGACTTTACCTTTGTGTTTTGGCATGATTGTATGAAGCGTGTTATTTAACAACTTCAAGCCCACTGCTTGTACAACGTTACATCGCTGCTGGTTTTTGAGTTTGAAAGAAGTCCGTTTGATGACGCTTTGCAGCACTGGTTGTATTCATTCAATCACAGAATACAACAGTAGTCGTTACAGACACATCCAGGCGGACATGTGCACTCTACTAAGTCCATCTTTCTAATTTGTTGTGATTTTGCCTCTAGTAAACCAAGTCTCACCATTGACATAGAGGATCCTGTGTGTGTGTGGGTTGTCTCCTCCATAGTAAGTGTTCGTAAAGGCAACGCGTCCAGGCAGGGAATGCTGGGAAATGCCAAACAGCATTAGACAGAGTTCAGTCTGGGTTCGCAGGGTCACCATCCCAGAGAACGGACAAGTAGCATCCTCACAAGTCTGGTCTACACACACACAAAGACACAACGAAAGGGTGTCAGATGATAGAAAGAATGATGGTTGACTATATCTATTGTCTAGTGTGTGTGTGTGTGTGTGTGTGCGTGTGTGTGTGTGTGTGTGCGTGCGTGCGTGTGTGTGTGTGTGTGTGTGTGTGTGTGTGTGTGTGTGTAGTACAGAAGCCAAACTCGGTGCAGGTCTGGTAGGTCCACTGTCTCTCTGCTCTCCTGCCTGAGTGGACGGTCGTGTCCATCAGATCCTTCACTGTTTTCTCATGGGAGATGTCCAGACATGGTTCCTCACTGGAGGAATGGTAGATCTGCACAAACACACACACACACAAAGGAAATAACACACAACACATATAAAACACCACACTGTGGGTCCCTGGCTACATAATTCTATTAACGAGAGAAATCCTAAAAGGTTGCACCTTTGCTTCGAGCCTGTCTCATCGAGGAAATGGCTCAATGGTGACACCTGGTGGTTATACTGTGCATGAAAAGAGAAAACTGCAAGCTGGACATTTGTGACATCCTTGTGTTTTCCTTACCTGGGCAAGTTTAACAAGGCGGTTGTAAGCCTCCGTCTCCTCCACGTAAGCCTCGCTCTTGTTGGTCATCACACCACAGAGCTCATCGATTGGCATGAGCGCCCCTTCTTCATTGTATTGCACCGTCCCCATAACTATGTCGGCCAGGTTTTGCATCAGCTCAATCTGAGAGGTGTAGAGGGAAATATTTATTTTCCACACAGATGCATTTGTTCTGTGTTAGAACTGAAGAAACAAAACAAAAACAAAGATGACTGATGAAAAACAGTGTAAAATGTGATGAAATTGTTATTATTCAAACAGTGAATCCCAACCAGGGGCTAGGCATATTAATTGTGGAGTAACTAAATTAATTTCAATTGATTCGAAATTAAGATTTGACTACAAATATGTAGAGGCCCACACATATTAAGTGGCTGCAATAAATGACATTGTGACAGTTAGTTTGCAAGCGAGCAGAGAAGTCTGACACTTAGCAGAAAGTCATTGATGTGGTTGAAATAGTTAAAAGTAGAAGCCTACAGTTCAAATAGTACTAAAGGACAATTTATTAATGGTGGAATTGCAATAGTTAAACACAATAAACACCTAAATGTGATGGATAAATGGTTGCATGTCATTAAAAAGTCATAAAAGGTCATAGTCTGTTATGATTATAATTTCAAAAAAGATAATAGTTAGCCAATAGTAACGTAAACAGATTAAAAGTTAAAATAGGTGTTGGAGCTATTTACTTAATATTGTATTTTATTATCTCATTTATAAGTAGTATTGTTTAATTATTGTAGATGTTTGATATATTAAGATTATTTTTTCTCTTAAATAGTAATTAGTTTAGTTATATTATTTTTTGGGTAATTACTGTGGGCACCTGTTGCTATATATAGGAGTAGACTGATAGGACCAGCATGCACCGGGGTGGGCGTATAGTTTTTACCTGCACTGCACAGGACAGGAGAGACAGCACGACAGGAGTTTTATTAGTTCGTTTGTTTGCTTGTTTTGTTTGCTTTATTTAATAAACACGAAAATCGGAATCCTGCATGGACAATCCACTCTCTTCTGGCTGCGTAAGAATACCGACCACGGTGCATCAGTGGCGTTTGATTATTGTTTGTTTAAGTTTGATTAAGTCGACAAATGGCCACTACAATAGGAGTAATGGATAAATGGTAAAAATAGTAAGATTTTGTGTATATGTTTTGGGTTTTTGTGTGTGGAGTTTAAAACAAGAGAGCACTAGTTTCAGAAATGGTGTTTTAGCAACTGTAACTATCTGGTATAATGTAACTACCAAGTTTAATGATGATAATTGTAACATGATGGTTGGTGCTGCTGCCGGGGTAGCCTGCTCAAATTCATCTGATAGGGCTGTGGGGTATCTGAAGACAAAGGTTGGTTACCAGTGATTTAGAGTAGGCCTACAGGTTTGTCCAACATGTAAGAACTCCTTAACACTCTGATAGTGCTGTTCAAAGTCATGTCTAGTGGTCGCATGTTGATCATCAAAGTATTGAGAGTTCACTACACCAGCATGCGTTGAAAAAGTCTCTAAAACCCTCAAAACAATAGCATAAAAAATACAAAAATGCCCAAACAAGATACCACAGAGAGGGATCTTTGTTCCCCTTTCTTATGCCTAACAACCTCTAATTCCTTCCCCCTAAACTGTCTCATAAAGACCAAAGCCGTCACCTGATCATCGAGATCCTTGGGGATCTGACAGCATCCGAAGTCCACGGCCACCCGGCTGGCGTTCCCGCCCATCACTGCTTCCACAGCAGCGAAGGCTTCTCGCACACCAGCCAGACACTGCAGGAAGAGGATGAGATTCAACACGCGTGACGGACAGAAATGTAATGCCAGTCATACGATGCACAGACATGGTGGCTGCCTTCACACCTTTTCTGAGCCACCAACCGCTTCGTTCATGAGACTCAAGCCGACAACCTGAAACAGGAAACCACAGAGCTGAGAGCAGGCATGCATCACAAGGCTAACTGGTGACGAAATTAGATGTTCTGCATGTGTAATAATTTCTGGGCCGTATAGGTAAAAATGAAGTGTACGAAGGTCACGTCCATGGTAATATTTCTGGGAACTGTGGGGGGTTTGATGATGTTCTGTGATTACAGGGAGGTTGAATGATTACACACATAAATAATGGGTTTCAAACTACGTATGAGGGAGGCTTTGAATCAGCATTTAGTCCCATAATGTAAACATTTGTGACTCATTTACTCACTTCTTTTTCCTGAAGCTTGTCAAAAAAGATGTATGTGCAAGGTTGAGTTGCACAGGGACTCAGGACCCCAGTATTTAAAAAAAAAAATCCTGTCTACATCTCTGATTATATGCTAATATTGAATATTAATAGTGACCATGGTTTGTGCCAGTTTACATTGCTGTAGGCAGAGAAGTCCAACGTCGCCTTGACAGGAGCAGAGGAGGCCACGGCTCCGTACACCAGGTGAGGAAACTGCAGTAGGATGAAAGAGGAACACAGAAAAATGTGTAACAATTGCTAAAAGGGAAATAATATGTACAGTAAGTTGTGTGAGATGTAAAAATTTTGTTAGCACCTTTCCTCTGAACCAGGCGGACAGAGCTCCAGCGTACGAGCCTCCGAAGCTGATCCAGGTGTTCCTGTGGCTCAGATTGAAGCTTTGGCTGATGTGCTGGTGAAATACAGCCAAGTCAGCAAGCCTGGACAAAAAACAACACACAAAACAACTCTTCAGTCTTTCACCTGACAAACACAAACAGACACACACACACACACACACACACACACACTAGACAGAAAGTAGAGGGGAAGCTGAAAACAAACCAAAAAGACACAGATACACATACATTATGTATTGAGGGAGTGAGGTGAAGGACACACATTTACAAGCATACATGTACTTGTACACACACAAGCTGGTAGCCAACACTCACGCCTGCTGGCTGCTCAGGTCTGACAGGTTCTCCGTTTTGAGGCCGTCAGGGTTGACGCTGTCGCCATAGAATCGATGCTCCAGAGTCAACAGCAGCGCCCCGTGTTCCTCAGCCATGTCAACATGGTGACCTGGGAAAGCAGATAGGATTCAGAGTGGTCTAACGCTTCTTTCTGTTTTTAAATAAGAAATACACAGACAGTTTGAGGGAATTAAACGTTTTAAAGGTATGTGTGAATGATGATGCACAATCAACTGGATACAGGTGAGTAAAAAAAGACAGACAGAACACAGAACAGGACAGGACAGATATAGCAAAGAAAACAAGTGTCATCTTACTGACACACAACATGATGCTTCACTCAATGTTCCCACTTTTATTTCCAAATCTGCGAGGGAGTGTCAGACATTTTCTGTATTTGAATCCGTTTGATCTGCCATTTGAATGCATGTGACAGACAGGTGAGGACATGTTCATCCTACTGTACCTGCCAGAACATCAAACTCATAGATGGGCCCTTCTCCTCCGATGAAGAGGAACACCGGACCATCAGGACGCCGCCAGTACGCCTCGTTCACAAAGAACCTCTGGGGAGAAAGACAGGAAGAGAGAAGGAGAGAAAGAAATAAATGGTTTATTCAGCTTCACCAAAACCAGCAGCACATTTCTTTGTGTAAGTAATCCCTTATTTAACGCTCCAAAGGACACATTTGCACATTGGCAGCCACAAATGAAAGTGAGAGCTAAACAGAACTCAATACACGCTGTTCGGAGGCATCGTCTCGTCGGTGGCTATGCTGGAGTTGAGGTGATGAAAAGGTTCAACCAGTCTAGATTTATCCAGACGGAGAGCTCACTCACTGCTGCTTCAGAGCAGATTTAGCAAAGTTTAGCTCTTTTCTGTAGAGCAGGACAACAACATCAGATTCCAGCAGCAACAATAGATACGTCTAACTAAATGACATCATCCAGTGCATTCACAAGGCAGCATTGTGACCATGAGTTTGTTAGTTAGTTGAAGCACCTGCAGCTAGCAGCGACCACTTCCTTCTAAGTTTAAAATCATTTAAATCTTGGCCTGCAGATCGTTCCAGGACCAAGGGCCTTAGTGGACCAAGCTGGTTTCCCCAGCCTCGAGAGGGCCCCACACCGGATAGACCACTGATCCGTCTCTACCTGAGGGAAGGTGCTGAAGTCTAGTCGGTTGAAGTGGTCCAGCTGCTGGTGGATCCTGCCCTCCTTCACATGTTGAAGAGGCTGCTTGGTTTTCTGCAGTAGGAGATTACGCACACGCTCCTTGATCTTCCCCAGAATCCGTCCTGGCAATAAAGAAGAGACCAAGAGGTAGGGAATATGAGAGAAGGGCACTTGTGCAAAGTCATTGAAATAATACCAACCTCAATGGCCTGTTTGAGAGCAATTGCTCTGGCTCAGTCCTGTGTGATGGGGGTCATTCCAGCAGTCCTCCTTGTGTTGCTTCTTTGCTCAATGTTGTATAGCTTTTAAACTATTTAAAATTGTTACTATCATTGTTTGTCTGCCATTTCTGTCTTGTAAAGCACTTTGTAACCTTTGTTTTGAAAAGTGCTATATAAATATAGTGTATTATTGCTGACCTGCTGGCCTCCAGAGCTGAGAACTTCCTCTAGAAAGGCTCCTATGTGGCTCTATCATCCATTTGATTGATATAAATAGTTTATGTTCATGTCACTGATGTGATGATTGGCTAAAATCCTTTAATCTCCACTTAGAAAACCTCTGATCTGTTTCAGTAACAGTCAACACCTAACGTCAGCCTCCCAAAGGATTGTCTGTCACCACCAGCGTCTTTTTTCTTTCGTCTTCCAGCTCAAAATATTTCCACTTTTCAAAAACCTTACAGCAAATCCTCACATCTGTGAAGTGCTTTGATTTTGATTTTTTTTTTGTATATCATGAAGCTGTCAAGTTATTAAATCCATGAGTAAACCCATTATCAGATTCAGTGGAGCATTCATCAACTCACCAGCATCAGTTGAGTTGAAGAGGAGTAGAAGGATGAGACAGCAAGCCGGTGAGAAAAGCATCTTTACCACCGAATCAGGATACTTTAAGATAAACGTAACGCATGTCCAGTCTGCAGGACTCAGGGGGATCTGCACCGCTCATCAGCTCCCTATATAGTCCTTTGAAGGGTGGGAACTGTGACATGACCTGTGTATTATTATGATCTACATATGGCATTTCATGAGAACAGAAAGAGAGTGAGAGTGAGAGTGTGTGTGCGTGTGTGTGTGTGTGTGTGTGTGTGTATATGCCATGTATAAACTGCTCAGCAAAATCGAGCATCAGCTTGGTGATGTAACTAGATCTTTCTGCCTTGTAATGGCTTTCTTTTCCCTCTTTCAAACACTCAGTGCGTCTCTCAGTGTTTTATGTTCCTCAGTAGCAAAAGCAGCTCAGTGAGTTGCTCTGATATTGGAGTTGACTAAATACTTAAAATGTTGGCTAATTATAGTCCTAATACATTAGTATTAGTATGGCATATTCTAAAAATTTCATAAAAAAATAGTATGCCATGAACTTGTCATAACAAATGTCATAGTATAGTTTGACTCAATGTCAAACTATACTATGACATTTGTTATGACATTGTCATTAAAATGTAAAATAATATGTCGAAAAAAAGTCATAGCTCAGTATGTCGAAAAAACGAAAAAAGTCATACTATAGTATGTCGAAAAAACTAAAAAAGTCCTTATTATAGTATGTCGAAAAAACGAAAAAAGTCCTTATTATAGTATGTCGAAAAAACGAAAAAAGTCATACTATAGTATGTCGAAAAAACGAAAAAAGTCATACTATAGTATGTCGAAAAAACTAAAAAAATCATACTATAGTGTGTCGAAAAAACTAAAAAAGTCATACTATAGTATGTCGAAAAAACGAAAAAAGTCATACTATAGTATGTCGAAAAAACTAAAAAAGTCATACTATAGTATGTCGAAAAAACGAAAAAAGTCATACTATAGTATGTCGAAAAAACTAAAAAAGTCATTATAGTATGTCGAAAAAACTAAAAAAGTCATACTATAGTATGTCGAAAAAAAGCCAAAGTACGGTATTTTGAAAAAAGTTTTTAAAAATCTGTATCGTATGTCACATTTCAAAGTCATAATTTGGTATATCGAAAAATAGTCTTATTTACCAATGTCAAAAAAAAGTCATAGTATAGTATGTTGAAAAGATAAAAAGTCATAGTATAGTATGTTGAAAAGATAAAAAGTCATAGTATAGTATGTTGAAAAAAGTGAAAAAAGTCCTAGTTTAGTATGTCGAAAAAAATAAGAAAAGTAGTAGTTCAAAAAAACTAACATGCAATAGACATGCAATCACTCAAATAGGTCATGTCATTTGACTGTTGCAGCTGTGTACAGATGTCAGTGTTTTTCAGGTCCACCTCTCCACACCTTGATGTCCTCATCGCTATCTAATCTGCTGCTCCACCTCCAAACACCTCGTGTCTCTGAGAACCAACGAAGAAGACAAACAAGCTCCTTAAATGCGCTGTAATTTCATCTTCAGGGATTCTGACGTTCTGGACATCAGAGACAATGATATTCTCAAGTGTAAAGTATAAAGCACACTGAGATGTCTGAAAGAAGTCCATTTCTATTACAGACCATGTCCTATTATTTCATATAGTCAACAACATCAACACATAACACAGCTGGTAATGAGAACAAATATTGTACCTCAGAGCTTCAGCACAGAGATGTTCTCTCAGTCGGTCTGTAAAATGTTTTTATTTTACCTATGAAAAGAGCCATGCTAGCTGTGTCCCCCTGCTTCCAGTCTTTATGCTAAGCTAAGCTAAGCGCTTCCGGGCTTCCTATAGCATACAGACATGTCTGAGAGTGGTATTGATCTTCTCATCCGACTCTGCGCATTAGGACGAATAAGTGGATTTATTTATTAACGTTTTCAACTATTTCTTGAAACTGGCAAGCAAATATTCTACCATTTTGTAGTTGACTGAATGTCTGCACGTTAGGTCATCAGAACTAAACTCTGATGAGTAAGAAACACAGCTACTAAGTGAAAAATAGGACATACAATCTAATTTTTAGCAACATGGTATTGTTTGTCATGTGTAATTGTTTTATGTAATAACACAGTTTGACTCTCCTATGTGTGCCGTATGTTAGAAATAATTTGATCTCAGGCTTTTGTCTTCTTTAAAAGCATCTCAGTCACAGAGCCAGCAGCTCTCGGGGCCTAAGCCTCGCCAGATGGAAGGGCAGCCGCATAAGCCTCCAGCAGTCTGCAAGGATCTAGATTACCTCATGTGCAGATCTGAAATGATCCAAAAGTAATCGTTGCAAAAGCAATTAGTCATTAAGGATTGGCAAAGTAGTCTGGACTGGATATCCTCTCTGACATTAACCTAATATTACACACTAGCCTGTCAAATGAGGCCACTGATGGAGCATTATGAGCATTTTTGTTATCCGGTTAAAATCCAAGCGCATAGATATCAAAAATGGTCTGAACCGTCTCACTTTGGATGTGTAGCAGATGGTTGTGATGCAAGAGCGAGATAAGGATGATGACATTAGAAAACACAAATTAGCTGCTTAATGCAATGCTGTAGGAAAACCATTTCACAGCACAATGACAGTAAAAGCTATAATCAACATCAGAATGAGCAAATAAGTAGAGGGATCAGATGGAGGCGTGCTGTGTTGTCTGAATACAAGAGCAAGCTGTGAAATTCAGCTACATTTCTCAATCTTGGTTAGATCATTTTTTGCAGCGTGCTGAGAATGGGCACGGGGAAACGTTTGTGTGTCCATCGCAACATCTGGCCAATTAAACCATCTGCACGGTTCGATACTATTAGGAGAAAATAATGTTTTAATAATTTGGGTAAAAACACATACGAGTTGTTCAAATTCAGTGACAGACACGTTTACAAAGTTGAGCATGAAAAGTTAATTCTTGACCAAAATCTTTTTTTAATGGCGCTTTCAACTGCATCAGCGGACATGTTGACAGGGAAGAGATCAAAGTCATCTGCCAGGAGGTAATATTCATCATATCAAACTCACTCCTCTAAGGTATATATAGAACATAAACAATGAAAGAATCTCACATCTGACAACAAACAAATTGCACCAACTTGGATTGTTGCTACAAAACATACAAATAACTGAAATGATTTTATTGCGGCTGCAGCGTGATGATGTTGCTCCGTCATTCTGACAAACGTTTGGGGGTCTGAAAATTAACGAAGCATCAACGGACACCGAGTTAATGTCACTACTTTATTCACAGACAGATATTATGATTTAATCAGCAGACAAAATATACAGATCAAAGTTGATTTTGTTTGCCTAACATACCATATAATATGTTCTCTTTCAGCAGTAATGACTTTAGCCCAGTCTCTGACTCTGGACTAAGGCTTTAATCGTTGGTTTACAAAACATTCTAACAGAGCTGTTTCTCTCTTATAGATAAACACATGCAAGTGAAAACAAAGACGTGATTTAAAGAAAAAAAAGATTCACGAAAGGCATTAAAGGAAGAGTGCGCAAAAAAAAAGAAAAGAGAAAAGCTGATGACAAATGAGAGCACCCAAAATAAAGATGTTCAATTATGGAATTCTTTACCAAATAAAAGTGAATACAGACCTAATGCAACCTTCTAGGAAATGAAAAGCAGAAAGGGGAGCGAGGAGGCAACAGGCAGGCAAGAGATGCAAGCAAGCGACTAGTCATCGGCAGTTCCGTGTTAACATTGCAGAGAACAGGAGAGGTTATTGAAATCTATGGATAATGTTTGCTCAGAGAAGCAAGGCGTCATGCTCTGCACAGATGATTGTTGGAGAGACCTCCAGGGGGAGGGAGAGGACAAAAACAAAAGAACAGTCTCCATGACGACACATGGAGACAGTAACCATCATACAGATCCCCAGAGGAAGAGGAGAGGTGTTGAAATCATAAGTCGTTATTGGCTGAAGGAGTTTGCTACATGGAAAACCCTGTGATAGAACAAGCTGTTTAGTATTGCATCACACTTCAGAGTAAATATAACCGAAGGGAATTAGAAAAAAAAATAATAAAAAATTGGAACAGGCAGGTAAAATCAACATCAAACCGAAATCACAAGCTCAGAGTAACTCAGATTAACAGGAGGATGCTACAGTGGCTGAGGCGATGACTGGAGATGTGCCTTTCAGTGGGCTGGATGACTGGCGTGTTTCACGCTTCATCGCAGATAACAGTCTCCACCACAAATGTGTTCTCGAAGTGACGGATGTGGTGGCAGTCCTTTGCGTCGCGCTTGTTGATGCCTGAGAGGGTGAGAAGGGGACGGACCAGTGATGTGACTTGATCTGATCACAACGTTTTGTGAAAACAACAAAAGTCACTTCTATCCATTAAAATAAAAACACAGACCCTACCGTCATCCATCATCGCACTTAAAATGTTTCTATTGACCCCTCCAATGACCCCCAACTTACGTCTGCGGGTGACACGGCGGTTCAGGCGGTACGTGTCCTTCCCGTTGCACAGGCGATAAATAAAGGGCCCCAGCTCACGCATGTTGTGCACCTTGTCGGTCACCACCATCTCTTCATGGATGATGTAGGTCTGAGGCAAGTATGTTCCCTTCTGCAAGCGACAGAGGTACAATAAAAACAAGCTCACAGCGATAACAGACACACTAAGGGGCTGGATAGTCCCAACATTGGTTGTCTGCACACTCAGACGTTTTGATAAAATTCCTCGACAGTGCTGACCTTTAAAGGAACGAAGAGCTTAGTTTTTGTTTCTTACATCTATACAACTGTATTTAATAAGTCAAATATGAACATTTTAACCAATTGGTAGCACTTGGGAATGGCGAAGGCAAAAAGTAAAGCCATTTCTTTCTAGACGTTCAAGAGAAAAGGGTGCTCGTGCAGACGTTAAGTTGTCTGAGATTTATTTGCGTTACCTTCACGTTGATAAGGAGCTCCAGAAGGTTGCGTGGAGGCATCACAATGGTGGTGTTGAGCTCGATAACGTAGCACTTGTCCAGAGCAATGTCATGGTAGGCTGTAAGTCCCTGGAAAATAAAACAGTTTATTAAAAGACAACATTTTAAATGCTTAGGTGATTTTTGAATAATTTGACCAATGTTAGCAGTGGGACTCTAGAGATGTTGCCATCTTGGTCCAAACTGAAATACTGATTGCCATTAGAGTTTTATATGGACATTCATGGTCCCCAGAGGATGAATCTGACTTTGTGTATCCACTGTGTTTTCATCTAGCGCCATCATCAGATCAAAATATGAATTTGTGAGCATGTTAGCATGCCGATGTTAACAAAAGCACTGCTGTGCCTTAGTATGGCCTCCAAGAGCCGTTAGCATGGTTGTAGACTGGTCTTTGTTTACATTTGATTTTCTTTTCATAGTCCTTTTCTTTTTCTGTATTTGTTTTAAAAAGATTTAACAGTGTACTTAGTTTGTTCTCTATTCAAGTTGTCAAGTGTGTATGTGTGTGTGTGTGTGTGTGTGTGTGTCCTCACTCTGTGGAAGTCATGGATTATATCAGCGGGGTCGCTGTCTCCAAAGTGAGGCACGGGCACACTGATCTTCTCATAGTTGTCGCCCAAGTAGATGCCGACATTTTCCTCCAGCTCCTGACGCCCACGCAGCGGAGCATACTCGGAGTCATCGTAAAGAATCGTGCAGCGGAACATGTTCTCCTCTGGCATCTGCACACAAACACAATTTAGCATCTGAATCAACACACCGGCTGGAACGGTCTGTGCAAGAATATCCTTCTTTTACAGCAGTGACTTAAATAAACTACAATTACCGCCTCGCGGCTGTATGCCTGTTGCAGTTTACATCCATGCATGTCCAAAAATGTCACATTTCTGATTACAGTATTTGGTGCAAGGGCCAATCTGAGACACATGCAACACACAGAAGAGTATAATAGGGGTCTCACGTGAGGTATAAAGTAGTAGCGGTAGACATAAATGGAGGCTAGGACCAGACCGGCCATGAACACAACCAGGCCAAACGTCAGGCAGCACAGGCCGTTGAGGGGAGACTTTTTGGGCCTCAGCGGCAGGACCAGCTCATCGTCATCCTGGAAAAGACACACAACACAGATTTTAATACTTCAAATGACTACAGAATAAGCATTTCCAGGGAGCGTCAATCCAACATGCAGCTTACTCATCTGATGAGCAGCTGAAAATGACTCAAATTAACTAAGTGCTAAAATAGAAGCTCACATTAACGGCGCATTTTAAAGCAGGAATTAGTAGCACTGAGCCCGGCCAGAGGAAGGGATGACGGAGCTCACGGTAATAAAAACTTGACTGAGAGACGGTGAGTAATCTTCCCAGACGCCTCCAGTCTCGCAGCCCATCTGTTGGCAGTGTGGCACTACACACAGATAGTAGCCACTCACCGTGCGCTTACAAAAACAAAGACTCAACAGAGAAGCGCTGTACTGCAGAACGCTTGTGGCAGGTTTAGAAACAACAATGGTGGCTATTGTTGGAGCTGTGACGGGGGCAAAAAAAGAAAAATCATTGTGTGCATGGGAAATCGTACTGTTGTTAGAAACTTCAAAGAAAAGTAATGACAATCCTGTGCAAACATGTTCCATCATTTAAAAAAAACAAAAAGGAGATGACACATGAAAGATGGAAATCAGTGCCTTTTTTTTCACAACGTCTTGCAGAACACGGTGTTCGTGTCACTCGTTTCAGTTCGGCACGCTGTTCTTTGTGGAAGCGTTTGGGAACAGAGGGGTGCATGAGGACAAGGCGACAACTGTGCATGTGCGAACACACACTTCTGTGAGACTCGGTTCTTTGTGTTCTCCCACCCCACCGGGGGAGAAGACAGAGGCTCTTTTCACACCAGCTGAGAGCGTGGCACACCACGAGGACGGTCCGTCTCCTGCTCGATACATTTGAACAGATTTCAAAAGTCACATACAGCCACTCCGGCTCTGTGCTTATGCAAATATTCATGTCATGTGCATGCATGTCCCATCTATATCAATCTATATTACAATCACGGCTCATCATCTTCTGGGCTCCTTCATGTGTCTTTGATAAGGGAGCCGAGGCCGATGCTGATGCTGCTGCTACGGCAAAGTTGAGCACTCCACTGCTCTGCCTCATTTGGGAGCTGTGCAAAATAGTCTTGCATGCGCTGCAACCCATCTGCCATTTTGTCAGCCAAAAATCCCATGCATTTCTTGCATTCTTTCTTAGCTGGGGGAGTTATTTATTTAAATCTGCACAGGAGGAAAGAAATCAGAGGCTGTGGCTGCTATAGAAGCAAAACCCCAATACAAATCCTAAATATTGTTAAATTGCGTTTTTTTTGCTTGCATTCATCTGTGCAGCCCCTAAACAAACAGCATGCATTTGCACATTATAAGAACTTGCTTCAAGGCTGCTTTTAAGTGGCGCAGAAGGAAACCAACGCAGCGACGGCACGTTCTGTTTCCAAACCTAATGGCGATGAATGCCGTCAAGAAACAGGAGGAGAATCCCCTGCTGTTCAGGCTGCGCGGGTGCACGCTGACCCGCAGACCAACACAACCATGCAGGAGAGTCAGCGGGCACCTCGTTACATAAGCACCAAGTCAAAGACGACTATGACAAACAATATTAATAAAGAAAAAAAACAACAACAGGCGGCGCGTTACTCACCATCGGATGAGGAATGAGAATCTCGGTCTTGTCGCCATCATTCTCCTTCTCCACTTTCTGTCCCGCGACAGACTGGAAGCTGATCTTCACCATGTCTCTCTGTGTGTCACCGTGTGTGTCTCTCTGTCTGTCTGCAGGTGTCCTCGCGCTTCGTCTGTCTTATGGATAGCTGGCCACCTTCCTGAAACAAAAGCCCCTCACCTCGTCGACGGGAACGTCCTCTTCTCACCGTTGCGTCTCTGTCTGTTTCGTCTTGTTCTACCGGAAGTGTGCTGTTTTTTTTATATGTGCACTTAAAGGACTAGTGCAGTGCTCTCTGTTGACATTCACAAAACACACGCACTATCGTATCAGCTCTGTCGCTGTTTTAAATCAAATGTGACAAGGTCACCGTCCCCTCGGCTTCACAGTCACACCCACTGCTTGACTGCTTTGGTTCACTCTCACCGCTCTCATGGGTGGTGTCGGGCCAGCAGGCAGCTGTTTTCAGTAAACAATAAATAAACAACACCTGCCCAGCAGCAAACAGATATGAGGAGTCGTGTGGAGACCAAACGCAGAGCTAGGAGGAGGGTGAATATTGGGACTTATTCTCCGGGTGGACAGAAAATCATTCCAAATGAACGAGGAGATGCTCCGTAGCTGCTGCTACACATAACAAACAGAAAAGATGTTGCAGTAATTGCGGATCTATTTTTTTATGATAAAAGTCAGAAAGTAGTGGAAGAGGGAGGAGTTGAAAATGAAACACTTAATCGATGAAATAGCTTAATTGATTTGTTGAATTGCCAAATTTGTTGCAAAGACGAATTAGTTTGTTTGACCGTTTACAAGAAAACGTAATTTCAATACAAGAGTATGATAAACAGCAGGATTCTTTAGGTCATTGTGATCAATTGTTTGTACTGTAGGTCTATTTATGTTTCAAGCGCTTGTAAAAAAAAAATCTAAATTCTGTTCCTTAATTATAATGTAGTAGCTCACAATTATGAACCTCTAATACATGTCATAATTATGAGGGAAACTATCTGAATCCGATATTATCTTTGATATGAAAGTTCATTGTGTTGATATTTACCTACTTCTGAACATTTTTTATTTTTATGTATAATGGAGTATTTTTAATTTAGCTAGCATGTTTGAATACTTCTTCCACCAATTTGAAAAAAGTCCCACTGCAATGTCATGCAGATGTACATATCCTAATGTCAACACACAACAAATGACCACAGCATCATTTTATTCCAAATGTTTTTTTTCTTTATTTCGATTGTAGGGCCCAGGCCTTTGACACTTCTGAAAGCACCCACGCGCTCTATGCTGAACCTGGAGTCAAAGTCAGCACACAGCCAATGGTTTAATTTGGCATTTCAATGTTGTTAAATACTTGGAAACAAAAGAAACAATTCCAGTACAACATCTTTAGTACAGCATCATGCACAGCCAGTGAGGAGCATGCATGTTCGATGCGAATGGAAGAACCGTCGGCTATCCGCACTGAGATGGTTTCTAATTTAAAATGAATTCATGTCTCATTACATGGACCATGTCGGTCACATGCACATTAATAAATCTGTGGTTTCATCAGTTTAGCTCCGCACCACGAGGACAATCCAACATGCCCAGAGTACTCTGCTACCCACAATGCTTTACACTCACAATTGTACTGGAATTATAAACCCTCTGAAGAGAAGGGAGGAGGGGTAAGAATGGCGGCTGAGTTGCCAATGTCCTGATGAGCTCACCCCTGAATCACACTCACTGTGGGGCCACACAGCACTCCCAGGCCACCAGCAGAGTGGTGAGGATGAGGAAATAAAACAAGTTAATGAAATTGAGGGGGGGGGGGGGGGGGCGCTATCCTCGACTCCAGTTAGTTGATGATGATCGCTCAGCACCTCACAAAGTGCACAAACACAGGCTTTAATGTCTCACTTAATGCTCTCCCAATCCCCTCCTGCAGGTCTCCAGCCGTCTGAGAGACGCTCACAATGTAGATGAGAGTAAGAAGAAGAAGAACAGATCCAGAGCCAACACCGCGACATTCCTCCGCTGTACAAATTGTTAATATCCTAGACGAGGTTAGCTAAATGTGAGCCGGCCCTTTAAGTTATGTACAAAGAAACCCAACAGCAACCATTTTATCAGCAGTAAAATGAAATGCAAAAAAACAACGTCACTTAACTTGTTTCTTTTATAGTTTAGAAAGTAATTTGATTACAATTAACCAAAACCGTGATGTTTAAAGTAATATATATATAATATATATTCATATGTTAAGGTTAAACAAAAACAAATCTACAAAGCAAAAAAACAAAAAGGCATATGTACATGTTCACCCTGTCCCAAAACAAACAATAAAAGAGACCCGACTCTCATCCCCTTCACCCCCCCTCGTTTCCTCGCGTGCTTCAAGTGCCGTGTCGTAAAACGAAGCACACGGGAGGTAAATGGTTCTAAGTGATGGCATCAGAGAGCTCGTCTCCCCCCCACGAAAACCGCTAAAATGAGCCACCGTTGTTTTATTGGATGAAGGCGATGATACGAGAACTGTAGCGGTTGATGCGATGCGCGTGCAAATTTCAGAGTCTGTGGCACTGAACATGGGAGCCGGCGCCGGCGCTGGGTACAGCCGCGGAGCTGTCGCATTTCAAGGCATGCAACCAACACACCAATGTTCAACTTGCTCGTACCATTTCCACCACACGGTTCCAGCTGATATTGTTGCAGTATGTGTGTATGCATGTTTTTTTGTAATACATATATGTGTGTGTGTGTGTGTAAACTTGTCTACATTTGTTCCTTGATGTGTGTTGGTGTGCGTGTCTATCTGGAAGTCGGCCGTACTGTATTTTCTGTCCCGATGTTTGATGGACTGTCATTAGAACATACCTAACATGTCTCAATGTGCAAGAAAGCAGCAGCGTCTATTATTTTCTCGTATTTCTTTTTGAAGGAAAAAAGACTAAAAACAAAAAAAGAAGTAATCAAATGTTCACTGAGACGCGGAGGAGCTGGCGACTTCCTGATGAGTTGATATGGGTACGTTGGTTTTTTTTCCATTTGTTTGTTCAGAAACCAGAAGAGCAGCTGCTGATGGGTCCGTTAGGCAGACGTTGTCATCCTGGTGGCTGCTCCCCCCCCCACCCCCACCTCTGCACACCTTCCTCAGGCCTCCTGGGGGGTGGGCCTCTTGAGGTCCCTGATCTGTTTGACCAGGTAAGTCTTTTCATCGTTGAACTGTTCATCCTCCGTTCTGTCGTTCTGGAACTTGCTGAGGAACTCGATGAGTTTGGTTTGGTTCTTCAGCAGGATGTCCAGGATGGGCTGAGTCTTGTTGGGGTTGGCCACAAACACCTGGTGGTGTAGGAAGAGGATTTTAATACAGTGCATATATATT